CAACAGAACTTTTTTTTTTTTTTTTTTTTGAAGAAAATACTCCTAACTTTGATCCTTATCCTTTTATACAGACATGGAGTTTGTGTCTTTATTTGAAGAATCTAAATGTCAGCTAAACTTTATTTTCTAGTAATCTTCTGATCTTGTTCACAGCATTTGATACAAGTTACCCGAGAAATGAAACAAAATCAGACTTGTATAGCGCTTTATTTGGACGCATTAGAAGACTAAATATTAAAGTTCGGTGCAATTAAACAAAGCATTTATCACAGGCATCTCTGCATCTCTGTGTGTTTTTGGGCCCCTAAAGGTTCGGCTGGTTTTTCAGTTGCGTTTTGCAGGATAAGTGCCACGTTAAAGCTGGAGAAAACTTTTGCAATGAGTTTTAACAGGTGTTTACTCTTCCAGAGCCGCTGTATCATCAGATCTAGGTTATTTATTTGAGTTATTTGACAGTTTTCTAACTCTGTCTTTAACCTCTTATCAGTCCACAACTGGACCATGGAGGACACGGTGCAGTGGCTGAAGGAGTCGGTGGAGCTGCCGCAGTACGAGAAGAACTTCCGGGACTTCCGGGTCACAGGGAACACGTTACCTCGGTCAGTACGGCCAGGAGCTGCCGGGCTTCATCCCCCTCCCCCTCCCCCCCACCCTCTCTGCCTCAGTAGAAACTTAAATAAAAGCTTTCCAATTTTGTATGACACAACATTTAAAAGTAAAAAAATTTTCTTTTCTTTTTTTCCCTCCGTCACCTAAAGCAACCAGTGACTTTTTTTTTTTTTTTCTAATTCTGTATTCTGCTGCCCTCTGCTGGTTAAGAAATGCAACACAGGACAAAATGTTTGGGATATTTGAAATGGCAGACGTTCCTCACGGCTTAAAGCTTTCTTTTCATCCTTAAGTCCGACATTCGGCTTCGGTCCATCCGCAGCGATCTGACTGACTGCTAACAAACTTCTCAGTCATGAGTTTAAGTCTTGAGTGGAAGGAGCTGCGGATGAAGTTGTTATTTAAGGACTGTCATTAAATGAACTCCTGTGTGACGGGTGCAACGTGAGCTGCTGCAGACTGAATGTACTGAGTGACTGACTGTAACCAGGGGGAGGCGATGGGCCGTCGGGGGGCTTCATGTTTCTCCGCCGAGCTGACTCATGAAGTGATGTCATAACCAGAGGGCTCGGTTGTTTCCTGAGCCGTTTTAGATGCTGATCGACGGTCCACCTGTCGGTCCCGTGTTTCTGTACGGAATGTTAAACATCCCCCCGATTTACTGTCTCGCGGTGGTGGGGGTGGGGGAATATTAAAATTTGCTACTTTGTAATTTGAATTTATGCTCTGTCTGCGTTGTAGAATAGCGGCAAACGAACCGTCGTTTATGTCCATGCAGCTGAGGATATTAGACCAGCGGCACAAACAGAAGCTCAACCTGAAGGCGCTCGACGCCGTGCTTTTCGGGCCTCCTCTTCGTAAGTACGGCTTCTGTTCGAACGCGGCAGGCCGGCGCCGCGTCTCCGCTCGCCCCTCACTCTCATGTCCCTCCAACCCCCCCTGCAGGTCCGCAGCACAACTGGGTGAAAGACTTTGTCCTGATGGTCTCCATTGTGATCGGAGTGGGAGGCTGCTGGTTCGCCTACATTCAGAACAAGTCCAGCAAGGTGCACATTTCTCAGATGATGAAGGATCTGGAGAGCCTTCAGAACGCCGAGCAGAGCCTGTTGGACATGCAGAGCCGGTAAGACGAGCAAACCAGAAATTTCTGAAGAATACTTTTGCTTAGCTTTTGTTTTTTTTTTTCTTTGCATATAAAATGATAAATAGTTAGATTTTGTTCTTATAGTCCTGCCGGTTGACTGAACTTTGACTGAGATGTTCAGGCTCACAAAGAGCAATGAAGGAAAATAAAAAACAGGCAGGAAAATTTGTTGAAATCGGTATTATTATCGCAAATATAGAGCAACAGTTTCGCAGTCACGCGTTTGCTTAATATTGCGTTGTCCTACTTTTAAAGTTCAGAAGAAAGACAATATAGGGAAAAAAAAAAAGGCCAAAAGGAGCTTGTCTGGTCATATGAGACCAAAATTGAACTTTTTTTAGCCTGCCTGCAAAATGGTGTGTATATGTCAGGACAAACTAGAGGTGAAAGACGGAGATGGCAGCATTATGTCGTGGGGATGCCTAATGTTCAGCGGGAGCAGACCAGAGTTGATGTGAAGATGGATGGAGCTTTAAAAAACAAAACATTTAAAGGCAGCAAATGACTTGAATCTGAGCTGGAAGTTCGTCTCGAAGAAGGATCCACAGCTGGAGCTTCAATTGAATGGTCCAGTCAAAGTTAGGAGGAAACTCAAATTATGAATCTGTTCCAAGATGTGAAAACCGATGATGATAGACGACCATCAGACTGAGCTTCAGCTATTTTGCAAAGAACAAACCACGATTTCCGAATTTAGATGTAAAAAAAAAAAAAAAATAGAGAGAATGCTAAAAGATTGCAGCTGTTAACTGTAGCGATTCTACAAGATGCTGAGTCAAGAGGTTCGAATTCAAATTCATCTCACATACTGTAGATTCTTGAATAAAAAAATAAATAAAATAAAAAACCCTGAAAAAAAGTGTTTTGATTTATCACGTAAATCAAAACAGGCTGGAAAAGGCTCAGGAGGAGAACCGGACGGTCGCCGTGGAGAAGGAGAACCTCGAGCAGAAGATGAGGGACGAGATCAACGACGCCAAGAAGGAGGCCCACCGGCTGCGGGAGCTGCGCGAGGGCGCCGAGTGCGAGCTCAGCCGGCTCAAGTACGCCGAGGAGGAGCTGGTCCAGGTGAGGACTTCCTGTCCCTGAACGCAGCTTAACCCGTTTCCCCCGAATGCAGCTCAGCCACGGGCTCATTATCAGTCGAAACATGCCGGGCGGCTGGAGCGAGTATCGCATGGTCGCGTGCATTAATGTGTGGAAACATGACTTAGTTCGTGTGGAAATTACATTTGAATTCACTTGATGCGGTTTGCACACTCTCCGCCGTCTTTTGAACGATGGATTTAATTTAAAATAACGGGGGGGAAAAAAGGCTCGTCTGGGTGCAGAGCTTCACGCAGATGTAAATGTATTCATCACTGTGGCTAAACCACCTAAAATTGAAAAGATTAGTTTTATATTGTCTGCCTTAAATTTTCATTTCATTTGCGAGGGACCTGCTTTGCATATTTATCCGCCTTTGTAAAAAAAAAAAAAAAAAAAAATCCCCCAACCCTCCCCCTTGGATTCGATTTTTTTTTTTTTTTTTTTAACTCATCAGATATGGAAGAATCCAATAAATAGTAACCTCTGCTGTGTTTGTTATGAACGGTTCCTGTCGGCGGAGGGCTTTATCTTTTTGACCCCCGGGGTCGTGACGTGTCGCCTTCCTGCAGGTGCGGAAGGCTCTGAAGCGGGCGGAGAAGGAGATGCAGTCGGAGCGCTCGGTCCCCGAGGCGCTGCAGAAGTGGCTGCAGCTCACGCACGAGGTGGAGGTTCAGTACTACAACATCAAGAAGCAGAGCGCCGAGTTCCAGCTGTACGTCGCCAAAGACGAGGTGAGGCTTCCCTGTGGCGGCGCGGGAAAAGCGACGGATCCGGAGCGCTCCGCCGTCCTTCGAGCGCCGGGATTAGCGGCCGTGGCCGATCCATCCGTATTTGCATTGTATAAATTTGAATGAATTTCGCCCTGATTTGGCCGTTAATGCGGTTTATCAAGTGACGGACTCGTCTTTGATGGAGGACGTGGAAATATGTGCATAAATTCGATTCTTGTTTGGAACAATTCCAGGCAGCTGCGTCAAGTTTTGAGGACCCTTAAATCTTCCCGAACATCAACAAATTCTCATAATGACATCTTTCTTTAAAAAAAAACAAAAAAAACTCTCCGATCAATCCTGACCCTGTGTGAAGAAGTAATGACACCCTGATCATATGAGGCAACTTTCGTTAAAAAAGTTGACGATAATTTTGACGGTTTCTTCTTTGCAGAATTGATTTCAGTCACATTGGGAGTATTTGATTATAGCCAGCCTGTTTTAAGGTCATGCTAACGCGTCTTAATTGGATTCAAGTTGCTGCTTTGACTAGTCCGCTCCAGAACCCTCAACTTGAAGCTCTTGATTCGTTCAAAATTGAGAAACGGATCTTTTAGCCTCGATCTTTTTCAAGTAATTATTTGAAAACTGTCTGCAAAAAAAAAAAAAAAAAAAAAAAACGAAATTGTAAAAGTTTTAAAAAATGTTTTTTTTCGTTGGGT